AATTATTAATTTTGAAGTCCCACGATGGGTTCCCAATGGAACAAGTCACGTGATCCTAGACTGCCGGTACCGGTATACCGAGAATGACCTGAGGCTTGTGGTGAAATGGTTTTTCAACGACGATTCCGAACCTGTTTACCAGTGGATACCAGAACTGGAAAAACGTCACGTAGCTGAATTTCTACTTGGACGACTGAATCTCAGTTTTAGTCTAAACTCGGGTGATCGGTACTCTCGCTACCGGGCTCTGTATATTCTCAATCCTTCACTTGAAATGTCTGGAAAATACACCTGTCATGTTGCGTCATTAGCAGGACAGGACTCTCGACACCAGGAGATGTTTGTTTTTGGTTAGTTATGAAAAACAAATTGAGTCTTTCTTTGATTGAGTACGCTTTACAGCAAGAGTTTAATATATTAACTCTGTAGTATAATTAGTTTTTTCTTTTTTTACACAGTTATACTTACTATCTATACCATAAAAACCTTCTCCCAAAAAGTGGCTTTTTTTTTTAATGCCGAATAACAAATGAAATTTTAAATATTTACTGACTGTGATAAGATAAAATACAATGAAAGATATCAAACAACGATTCTTGAATATAGTATTACATGTAATTACACGGACCAGAACGACTCGGTGAATGGCTGGATGATAACGATTCCTGCTATTTTTGTAAAACGAACAAAGCAGAAAGAAAATTAATTTAAGGCCCGAAACGATAAAAGGCAATGCTTCTACTTTAGCACGAGACCAATTTTTTCCAATAACTGATGACAGTTGTCCGCCCCCCCCCCCTCATTACTGGAAATAACCTAGGTCTAAGTGCGTCATTAATCTTTATTCATTTATAAAGACAAAGGTTTAACGAGGAGTGTAGCGGCTCTTTGCTTTGAATAAAATATTTGAAGCACGTGCATGACTAAATCCTTAAAATATCCGGTCGTCCGTTTAAAATTACTATGTATCAGATTAACAAGTACAAGAAAGTTATCTATGTACTAGCAAGTAAAACAACAAAATATAACTGCTCATGTAACAGGAAGTAAAACAACAAAATGTAACTGCTCATGTACTAGCAAGTAAAACAACAAAATATAACTGCTCATGTACTAGCAAGTAAAACAACAAAATGTAACTGCTCATATAACTGGAAGTAAAACAACAAAATGTAACTGCTCATGTATCAGGAAGTAAAACAACAAAATATAACTGCTCATGTAACAGGAAGTAAAACAACAAAATGTAACTGCTCATGTACTAGGAAGTAAAACAACAAAATATAACTGCTCATGTACACGGAAGTAAAACAACAAAATGTAACTGCTCATGTACACGGAAGTAAAACAACAAAATGTAACTGCTCATGTACTAGGAAGTAAAACAACAAAATGTAACTGCTCATGTACTAGGAAGTAAAACAACAAAATGTAACTGCTCATGCACCAGGACGTAAAACAACAAAATATAACTGCTCATGTACTAGGAAGTAAAACAACAAAATGTAACTGCTCATGCACAAGGACGTAAAACAACAAAATATAACTGCTCATGTACTAGGAAGTAAAACAACAAAATGTAACTGCTCATGTACTAGGAAGTAAAACAACAAAATGTAACTGCTCATGTACTAGGAAGTAAAACAACAAAATGTAACTGCTCATGTACTAGGAAGTAAAACAACAAAATGTAACTGCTCATGTACTAAGAAGTAAAACAACAAAATGTTGAATTTGTTGTTTATTTTCAAGCGTAAGCCTACATTATAGGCTGTCAGCGCTGTGACCCGATGTTTAACGTTATAAGCCCACGAGCTTACTTCTGAGCCACTTTGAGGAGGGGGGGACAAGGTGATCAATGTTCTGTTTACTTATATGTTTAAATCTTATAAATACTTCTAAAACACAGCTTCACATGAGTAAATTATTAAGATGATATAACCACATGAAACAAATAAGGACTTTTGTTCACATTATTCTAATTCTAGCTGTGTAGACACAAATATAAATAGGAAGTTTTTAAGGGACTGAAGTCACTTAGCAACGTCTCCCAGTTGTTGCGTTTCTAACGCAAAGCTGCACGAAAGACTATATGTCCACCGCGGGAAAACATACTCCCATTTTAGCGTTGTATGTCCGTGAACTTACTGGTGACTCAATGGAACATGATAGCCCATTATGTAACTGTGTGTTGAAGAACAAACAAACCTTCTACCAGTTACATTATTGTCGACTAATACAGAGTAACAAACAACGAACCTTTACCATCGTAGTGGTTGTAGTAGACGTAGTTTCAGTTGGGAAATTTGATTCAATACTTGAAACACAACCACTCGAAGGTGCTTAGAGGATCGTAAATACTTGAAACACAACCACTCGAAGGTGCTTAGAGGATCGTAAATACTTGAAACACAAGCACTCGAAGGTGCTTAAAGGATCGTAAATACTTGAAATACAACCACTCAAAGGTGCTTAAAGGATCGTAAATACCTGAAACACAAGCACTCGAAGGTGCTTAGAGGATCGTAAATACCTGAAACACAAGCACTCGAAGGTGCTTAAAGGATCGTAAATACCTGAAACACAAGCACTCGAAGGTGCTTAAAGGATTGTAAATACTTCAAACACAACCACTCGAAGGTGCTTAAAGGATCGTAAATACTTGAAACACAACCTAGTCG